TTGGGTCAACAAGGGCTACCCCCCCCCCCAACTTTGCTGGTGAGGGCAGTGGTTGTTGCTTGAGTAATAGCAATGGTCGCTTTGTCTATGGAAGCCGATCAAAATCTTTTTCATTGTTCGATTTTTTCACGCAAGTTCAGTATTTCAATCAACGGGGTGTTTTCAAAACGTGTTTTTTTTGTATATCTTCTCTCGTTTCGAATTTATGTTGGCTATTTAAAAATTTTTTTCCAGTATGCAGCAAAAAACAGCCAAAACTTGTTTATATAAATCATTGAATGGAATTTTTTTTGTTCTCAATTTATGGATTTAACTGAATTTTCACTGCATTTTGAGCTGAACAAGCTACTAAGGAGCTGGTTAAAAACAAACAACAAACGATAAAATGAACTAAGACAGAAACTAAAACAAACTGGAGACAAAAGCTCATCCCCATTTTCAATGGTCGAACAAAAATTGAATACAAGGTATGATCCGCTAATGTAAAAGGATTGCTAGATTTGGCTGTGAGCGTCCACGTTTTTCAAGCATATGCAATATGCGTGATCAAATGTAGAAATGATTTGCATTGATTCAATTGAGCAAAAAAAAACACTTTATAAATCAAAACATAGAAAAATTGTAAAACATTGCTTAATTGTTTTCCAGTTAGTTGTGAGAAAAACAATTTTCTCAAATTTTAATGATTTGTGAGCGCAAAATGCTCAGCATCAAATCTTCTGAAAAGAGCATAATGATTTTCAAAACATTCGCTCTACTGGGGATTCGAAGATGCGTGCCGTAATGAAAGTCATACAAAGAGGTTGCTGGTTCTCAATCCTTCTTTGAAGCAAAGATCTAATTGCCACGTTAGCTTGGCCAGTTGACCTGCGGCTTCGAAACCCAAAATGATAGGGTGAGATTTTGGGCAGCTGCCTTTTCACACTATTTGCAATCACTTTGCGAACACTTTGCTTGTAGGTTTGCACTAACTCTCAAGGCTTGTAGTAACTCTGCCCCTTTAGCGGTCCACTATCCGCACCTGGAAGTGACTTTTCAACAATTTTTTCAAACGCCCGTCTTTTCGTAATCAAGTTTTCATGATGCTAAGAAATTTGCAATTACTGACTTCACCTTTGCGCCTCCTCTCCACTTTCCAGCCAACTCGAACAAACACTCCTAAGAGTCTCTTTCAACGCCAAACACACTTCACACGTTTGTCCGAGGACGTGATTGTCTTAAACTCCTTCCAGACTGGCCTCCAACGTCTCATTTAGGGCATAATTCCTCAAGTTTTGCACTTTAAATTTAGTTTTATCATCTTTGCAACCAGATTGTCGATCTGTTGTTTAAAACTGACTGTGTAAATTTTTTCGTTCTTTGAAAATTAAACTTTGTTTGGCAGTTGAATACTCAAAGAATATACCTTCTTTTTCTTCAGGTTCCGGATCCAGTAACCTGGCAGGGACATTGCACGCCAACTCCTTATTAGTGCTATAGAAGTTCTCAAGGGGAACAATGTGGGACATGCGGTTATCTCAAGTTAGCAGCTTGCGGTCTCTGGCCGATTTCAGACAGGTATTGATTTTAGACTTAAATCCACGAGACTTCCTCTTTTTGCTTTTTCTGAGAAGGCTTTTACTATCAAACGACTTTTTGCTTTTTTCTTTCGGGGATGAAATCACGCCGATTAGCTATGCATGGTCTGAGTGATGCCAGGTACTACCTGCCCAACTCTAGTTGCCCGGGCTCTCATATCTCTCCAGACCGTGTTCCGATCAGACAAGATATAATCAGTGACTTCACCTAAGCCTCATGGGTGCAGTCATTGATTGTATCTTGTCCGATCGGAACACGGTCTGGAGAAATAAGAGAGCCCGGGCAACTAGAGTTGGGCAGGTAGTACCTGGCATCACTTAGACCATGCATAACTAATCGGCGTGATTTTACCCCCGAAAGAAAATGGAAAAAAGTCATTTGATAGTAAAAACCTTCTCAGAACAACTTTAAAAAGCAAGTCTCGTAGATTTAAGTTTAATAGCAATACCTGTCTGAAATCGGCCCAAGGTCGCAAGCTGCTAACATGAGATAACCGCATGTCCCACATTGACTCCGTTGAGACCTTCTATAGAACTATTAAGGAGTTGGCGTGCAATGTCCATGCCAGGTTACTGGATCCGGAACCTGAAGAAAAAGAAGGTATATTCTTTGAGTGTTCAACTGCCAAACAAAGTTTGGTTTTCAAAGAACGAAAAATGTACACAGTCAGGTTCTAAACAACAGATATGACAATTTGGTTGCAAAGAGGAAAATGCTAAACTTAAAGTGCAGAAGTTGAGGAAGTATGCCCAAAATGAGACGTTGGAGGCCAGTCTGGAAGGATTTTGAGACAAGCACGTCCTCGGACAAATGTGTGAAGCGTATTTGGTGTTGAAAGAACTGAAAATGAGAGCACTGAAAATGAGTGCAGCCCGGTTTCTACGTTTTCTTTCGGAGTCACTCAAGCACACAATATTGTAGTTTCTACCAAGATCAGAGACTCCCTCGCATAATCCCAGGACGTCAATATGTTGCTCTGGCATCAATTTTTCTAATTCCTTTGAGAGTCCTAAATTCAATTGTCCAAATTTTCACGGTTGCTGCCTTACCAAAACATTGTCTCGGGCCGGTCGCTCCTGTTTCCGATTAGTTTCTTTCATTGGTTTGAATGTGGGTAGTTTTTCTAAAGGTATGGCTCACTAGGCCGTATTACCCAACCTCTGTTAATCACCGCGTACACGTGTTGCAAGTCAGTCGTTAGCCGCGTACAGACAGGTCTGGTTTGCTGTCATTCAGTGACGTACATGTTGCCCGGGATCCACCGCTTGGAGGTGAATGCCTGACTTTGGATCCACTTTTTGTCCATATATGCAGTTTAACACAGCTTTGCATCACTTACTGGACAACCCAAAAATAGCACAGCAACTACTCAAAATTAAAAGAAAAAAAAACAAAAACCGAAAAAAGCATCAATATACTTTTTAAACGTTTGTCTCAATTGCGGTTCAAGTTGAGGAAAGATGGCGAGAAAAACCGTTGCCATTGTTAAAATTGATTTAAAAATTGAAGTTCGTCGAACGATAACAGAGCAAACAAAATTTGAGGAGACAACTGTTGAGCCAAAAAAATATCAGTATTGAGCTGTAAGTTTGACACCCCCGCCCTCATATCAGACACAATACATTTTTGGTTCGGCAAAAAAACGAAAACGGAGGCAACTGAACAGATATGACATCAACTTGAAATCATTTCTGCCATAAGCCACGCGGTAAAAAAACTTGTCAGCGAAAAAAACCTATTTAGCACAAATCGTTCTAATGAGATGAATCATTTGTCCTATTGAAGCATTCTCAAGACTGATTTGAACGACATTACAAAATTTTCGTCTAATTTTCGACATTACAAAACTTTTAGTCGAATTTTGAGCGAGTAAAGCAAGTGAGAAGGCATATTGTAGAAGGATAAAGCATGAATATTTAGTTTTACTCCAATGAAATTGTTGTTTGAAGTTTGTTAGCCATTAGTCATTTTATTTTAACCCTTGCCTGATTTGCCTATTGTAATATGACTGTCGAATATGCCTAGCTTCAAGGTTTTCGTCAGATCCTTTTAGCACACCACGCACAAAAACAATACTAATATGAAAAAAAAACATGAAAAAATTATAATGCACTTTTCTAAGAGTATGATCGGAACATTCTTGCAATTTGTTGCTACTCGTTGCTATTTGCACAGCCACTTGCTATCCTTGTTTGTATTTTTGTTTCTGCTGCACTGATAATGAGGACAAACTTTCCTTTCACTCGTAAATTAGTTAGAGAGCCAAAAGCAATTGTGTATCTTGCAGTGAATGCACAGCATCCTATGATGCCGATGCTAACTGTAAACACGGTGGCATGTCGTCATTTTTTTGCAAAACGTGGCATTATTTTTTTTACGATTTGACGTTGGTAAGAAAAGTGAGAAGGGCTTCTCTCTTTAAAAGCCTGTTTTCATGTGCATTTGGACAAAAAGTGCTATGTTCAGAAAATTATAGTTCAAACAATGTGAAAAAAACTTGGAAACAGAAAGTCTTCGTTACTTGTAAACAAAGTCATCACGTGGAAAAATGTTGCACCATCTGCATCGCTCAGCGATGGACCCAAGGAGGGACTGACTTGTACATTCCAAGCCGCCATTTGTACACTGCGGCACTTTTAAACTGAAAAATAAGTGCTGGTATCAACGAAGCTAGATCTTCTACCGGACCGACTTTTTAGCGTAGCGTCCTATTATCAGGCCACAAAGTATAAAGTAAATTAGGATTTAAAATTAAGAAATAAATTTTAAGAAAAACTTTATTTATAATGAAAAAAATGCTTACCATACAATTTTCATATATGAGAATTGAAGGACAAGCATTTTTTTCCAAAAAACAAAAACCTCGGTTTTTTATCACCAGACAGTTTTATTAGAGTCAAACAGCCGCAGAAATTAGTTGATATCTTTTTTCAACCATGTTTCGAAATTGTATGAAAATTGTATGACAAGCATTTTTCCATACACTTAATAATAATAAATTGTTTCCAGTATAGGTTCACATTGATCAATATAATTTATATAAATGGCAACTTGAAAGAACCCATTAGACAAATTCTGCCTGTTTTCAGACGTCTTTGAAAACAGGCAGAATCTCAGACGTCTTATTATTATTATTATATCAAGGCCGATGTTTTAATTTTTCTGGCCGGTCTGGTGAAAAGTCGTGCTCTCGGTCCGAACAACTGGAGTACTCGCACCGAAACAATTTTTTGTAAGCCAACATCTTTAGTTATCAGTTTTTATTTTGTTTTTACAAAAGTTATTTTGTTACAAGTTTTTTTAAAACACCAAACTTAACAAGTTCATACTTGCTTTAATTCAACTGTTCATTCTTGATTAAATATTTAACTCAAACGATTCAAGCTTTGCTCAATGACCAAAAAAAACAGACGAACTCTTTTACCTAAATGACTCAACTATTTAATTATTCACAGACTTCAACCAGGTGATTTTACACCATTCGCCAGAGACGATCTGTTTTTATATACATTCTACCATTTGAGAATACGCATAAGACAACATTGACAGAAATCTGTATTAATTGTAAGACGTACGTTAAAGTTGGCCAAAAAGTGCTCATAAATATTAATCAATGCAGACATAGCACTTTTCACTTTTTATTGTTCGTCCTTTTTATTGAAAATCAGTCTTTAAAATATTAAGTACATATTATTAAAAAAAAAACGATTTTCATCAGTTTTCATTGAGTTTTAAAGCTGCATTTATCAAAAGAAGATCTATCACTCGACCTTGTTACCTTGTTTCAGGTATAATTAAAATGAGATCGTTTTAAAGCTCCAAATATTATTTGGGAACAACTTCAAATCTACTATATCGTAAAATAACAGAAAAAAGTTGCATCAATTTGAACTATTTTCCTTTCATGTGTAGCAAGTTATTTTTTCGCAATTTTGAAAACTTTTCGAAGGCGTTTTCAAAGCCAATTTGATGGATGTTAGGAAAGCTATTTTTGTATACTTAAACTAACTTGAATTATTACATTCTTTAATATTACACCAAAAAGAGACGCAAAAAATAAGGGTTAATTATTTTAGTAGAAATCACAAGCCGCGCTGCACCATTAAAAATCCTAGAGTAGTTGCATCTCTGAGTTAAACCAAATTTCATTAGCAATTAATATCAAACCTAGTCACGATTGACTGGAACCTTCATAATAATTTAAAGATTAACTATCCTCTCCCAAAACTATCCTCCCTTAACTATCCTCCTTAGCCCTCCCTTATCTAAAAAAAAACGTATAGCATAAGCACGCTGTGGTTTTTGTATTGGTACAAGTCAGGGAGCTATGCTGTGTAGGGGCTTTTGATGTTGAAATCCTGAACTTGATAAGTTTTGCAATAGGGGGAGGCATATGCACTTAAGAGATGTTCAAATATCTACATCCTTTTATTTAGTATGTCGAGACTATTAATAACGGGAGGATGTGGTTTCATCGGCAGTAACTTCGTCCAGCTATGTCTGGAGAGTGAAGATGTTGCTTTTGTGGCAAATGTGGACAAAATTGTAGACATCAGCAACTCCAGATACTGTCATGCTGACATTGCGAACTACAAACACTATGCGGTAGATCTGAACAACCAAGCGGCCCTCCTCAAGATTCTACAGGTAAACTCATCTTGCATTTCAATTGAGTTTCACAAACTGTCGGGATGATTCGTGGCGTAGCGGCTTTGCATGCGTGCCGCTTAGCATGCGTAATTAAAATAGTTGCTCAGTTTGATGCAGTACACGGGTCGAGGTGCTCACTTTATAATTCGACCGTCTCGACCAAAATTTGGTATGTTTCGACCGTCTCGACCGAAATTCAGTATGTTTCGACTGTTTCTAGATCTGCTTAAATCAAGTTTCGACCGAGCTCGAGGTATGTTTTGACTGTGCTCGAGATATGTTTTTACAGTGCTCGAGGTATGTTTCGACCGTGCTCGAGGTGTGTTTGGACTGCTCGACTGTGCTCGACCGTGCTCGATTGTGCTCGACTGTGCTCGAACGTACTCGAGGCATGTTTCGAAACTGTGATTGACCCAAACCACTGTATCGACTATTCTTTTTCGATCGAGCACTGCCATATGCTCGACTTTGAAAGTCGAAACTTAGACTGAGCACTTCGACCCGGGTACGCATTAGTTTGAGTTTCAGTTGCAAACGTGATAAATTAAACTCAATTTTGATTACGTTATTTTCCGCATACTAAGCGGCACGCATAAAAGTAGACTTACACCTTAAACATCTCATGGTTGTCCAAAAACTTCGCAGGTTTCATTGATAAATTCTTTGAAAAAAAAATTGTCAAACAATTTCTTGCTATGAAAATAATATAACTAGCTTTTAAAAAAAATAGCTTTTTTCTACCAAAAAAATTAAAAGAATATGAGGTTGATCATAGTTGATGCACAACATTTTGATGATATTATAACTAATGTAAGAGTTAACAAACCTCAGAAAAATTGATGAACTTTTTTGCAAGGAAAGTTAGTCATATTATTTCATAATTAAAAAAATTGGGAAAATTTTTATATTTTACTCTTTAGTCGCATAATCTATTTTGAAAGCAAACAAAAATTTGCACGCAAAACTGTAGTTCTTTGTATATAACGTGGTCAATATACAGTTTTTAACCCAAAAGAAACAAAAATCGAAATGTGCGTCTTTTGTGAAAGCCAGAACTTTTTTCAGTTATATGGTAAGGTAAACTTAAAATCTCTAAATTTTCCAAAAAAAAATATTTTTTTTTAGCCATACGCAAACAAAAATAAAATTGTTCAAGGAAAATATGTGAGGATTTCAAAAAATTTTACCAATGAAGTTTTTCTACGAAAACAGTGAAAAATTGATCCTCTTCAAAGCACAAACTGAGTACGAGACATTGCAATCTTTCAACCAGAAATGGCCAATCAAGTCAATTTTTCATTTGTTTTTTTTTTGTATAGCTCATAGTCTACTTCTGATAGAAATTTTCAAATATTAATTTTCAAATAAAATTACATGTTTTTTAACATAACTAACCAAAATGTATTTCGGCAAAATAAAAGATTTGCGAATATATATATATATAAAAAAAACCTGCGGCCCGAAAAAAAAAGCTGTGGTTCGTATACAGTGCTGATTTCAAATAATCGGACATACAAACAGAATTGCAATTTTAGGCGCATTTTCTCATTAGTTTAAGCAAAAAGAATGGAATGAATTTTGCTTGAACTTTTACCAGATTTTTGATGGTTCAGTTCATTTTGCAAAAATTGGGCCAAAATGTTCCTCAAAAATGTGTCGCTTTTGGTTTTTTTGGTCAATCAAAAATAACGCCAAAACAACCGGGCCAATTGCTAACACATTTTTTAAAAATGAAACTCTTTCTCAGACCAACAAAAAATAATGAAGGCAAAATTTCCAAATCTTTCTGCAAAATGCTTAAAAATTGTTTTTAAATGAAAAATTGTATTTTACCTGGTAAAATTACCTTTTTGGGCTATCATGCGATAAGAAAAGTATTTTTAAAAAACTTCTTTGCTTATATTTTTTTTCGTTTCAATATAAATATGTCAATAATTTTCAGGGTAAAATGAAGCAATTTTTGATTGAATAAAAAACCAAAAATGTCCCGGTAAAATTTTGGCCCCGAATTTTGCAAAGTAAACTGTTCCATAAACAAGCTGGTAATTTTAAAGCAAATTTCGTTTCCTTCATTTCTTGTCTAGGCTCAGCCAAATTTGATACAGACGCGTTTATAGTTTCCAGTTTCGTACATTTGTCCGGTTTGTTTAAATCAGCACTGTATTATTCTTTATAGCTCAACTAGTTACTGAAAGAGCATTTTTGGATTTGAAAAACGCTAGTCATATAACTTATTTTTATGAAGAAGTACTAGTCATACAGTTCCCATTTATGGCCAAGCAGTTGCATTATATGAAAATGCTAGTTATACCTATAGCATGGAAAATGCTAGTATTGAGTTTTTTTAAATTTTTTTAGTCGTATGAACTGTATGGGAATTGTATGACTAGAACTTTTGGTCAACCCCGGTTCTTTGCGATTGCCATGAAAAATATTGCACGTTTTTTGGGTTCAGATAAACTATAGTCCAGCTGCAACCATTTTTTCACAATCGTCTTTTTTATTTGGCTGAAAAATTTGTTCAAGGATGAGAAGATCACTGATGTTGCTCACTTTGCTGCAATGAGTCACGTCGATGACTCATTCAAGGATCCAGGGGCCTACGTGGACTCCAATGTGAAGGGAACCCTGTCGCTCCTCTCAGCCATGCAACAGTATGGCAAAGTCACCAGGTTTCTGCATGTAAGTCATCCCGTACAAAATATACTATATTGCAGGTTGTTGTACAAGTAGCACAGAATGTTCCGACCACATTCTCAGAACTTTTTTTTTCAAATTAGTGTGTTTTGTTGTACGTCCTGTGATGATAGAGCTATACAAACGCGTATAATTTTAGTGAATTAGGCATAAACTACCATTGTCTTCAAAAATAATAAAAAAGCAAAAAAAAAGTTAATTTTAAATACTTTCGGAAGATTTTATTTTGCCAGAGAGCGCTAAAAAGCATCAAAAACTATAATTTCTTTGAGTAAAATTATAAATTTTTAGCTTAGATAGGATTTTTCATACATAACGAACGTTACTCGATCACTTAACTCGCTCGAAAATAGACGAAAAATCAAAAATTTCAAACCGTTTTTTTTTCAACATTTTTCGACGTTTTTTTTTCGATGATTATTTGTGGTACCTGATTTTGCGTGGAAAATTTAAAAAAATCAAAACACCCGAATACAAAGTTCCTCCCCATTTTCAATGCTAGGAACAGAAACGTTTCTGAGAGCAAACGAATGCATACTTAACAAGGAGGAAAAAGAGCCGACCCTGATTATACAAGATTTGAAGAATGTTTTTTCTAATATTCATTTACTTTTTTCCGCGAAAAAGCAGGTATCGACCACAAATAAATATCAGATTGTGGCGAATAATTTAAAAGCCATTTAGTTCAGTCGTGATTTGACAAAAATTTACAAATTTGCTTTTTCGAGAAAAATTGGTTTCAAAATTATGCATTCTTTTAGTTCAATATAGAGTGAGTGAAAACCGTGAGTAGCTGTGATTGCTAAAAATTAGCTGTAATACACGCGCTTTTACTTTTCTTTTTCTTTTTTTTTCATTTCTTTATTGTTTGTTTTTAATTTCTATGTCTAATTTCTGCGGACATTGAACATTGAAGACAAACTATAACCATTTAGTCTCTCAAAAGAACTTTCGAGTCATGGAATAAGCAATTGTTGGTCAAAAAATGATTGACTCGTGGCCTGTTTGTAGGTGTCGACAGATGAAATCTACGGCGACAACCGCGAAGGCCGAGACCACATGCCCGACTCACCTACCCATCCTCAGAACCCCTACTCGGCCAGCAAAGCAGGAGGAGAGGCTCTGGCCCGAGCATTTAGTGAAAGCTTCGGCCTGCCTTTACTAATTGTGCGAGCTAACAACAATTACGGCCAGTACCAGTATCCCGACAAGGTAATGGGTCGCTTCATTTGTCAATTGCTGGAAAATGAGCCAATCACAATCCACGGATCGGGGGCAGTGAAAAGAAGTTTTATTCACGTGTCTGATTGCTGCAGAGCTATTTACACTGTGCTGAAAAAGGCAAGGCTGAAATTCTTTTCCATTTTCAAATTTTTTTGGTTCACTTTTTTTACTGAAGTATTTCTTTCAATTATTTTTATGTTGCGAGTTTGAAATTCTACATGCCACAAAAAGTAAAATGTAAATAAAAGGCAGATGAAACATTTTACATCAAATTAGTAGCGGATTTAGAAGAAACCTCCCCCTACCCCCTCAGTGATTCGACCCCTCACAGCCCTTCGGTTCTATTTTTGTTCACAAATTGGCAGAATCATCTGAATGTTTTTCTGCATGCGCTAAATACTGTCAATATGCTCCAAAAACTGTCAATATGCTACCTTCTGTTTTCTAATTTGGCAAAATAGGGTCCTTTTTTGCTAGGAAAAAAGTGACCTCATTATAAAAATCGAAAAGCGTATGTATCTCGAAAGCTTCGGCCAGCAAAAAAATTAATGTGCACCTTCCTGCAATTTTACATACATTTTTATCAATGTACTTTTCTAAACAAAGAAAAGTGTTCGTAGCAGTGCGAAGCCCTGAATGCTCCAACTTCGCTGGAAACCATCATTTGAAAAAAAAGTTATAAAATTTTCAATATAAAAATGAAAAAAAAAATTGAAATTTTATTTTTCGGATTTTTTTTAAAACTTCCGCGTCTACTAATTCTTTGAAAAATACCCAATTCTTGGCTTCTAGTCAAAAGCATATTAAATTGATGGATTTTTTTTCAGAATAGCTTTTTCAAAATTTGTTCACAAGTTATGGTTGATTAGGTTAAGGACTAAATTGATCGCTATAGTTCAAATTAAGATAATAAACACTCAACACTTTTTGTATTATTGAAGCGTACGGTAAAAAATATCATTTCAAATACATTTCTTTTATCTCAAAGATAATGAGTCCAAAGCTCAAACAACAGGAAAAATTACTTTTGACGAGTATTTTTCAACGTTTTGGTGGATTGAATTTGGGGCTACTTAGACCACTATAATTCAAATTGGGTTAAAGAAAGTGCAATATACTTCGTTCTATTAAAGCGTACGCGGCCAACAAAAACATTTCAAGCTGCAAAAAAAAAAGCGATTGAATATATAATTGAAACGCTACCAGACACAAATTATAAACATTTGTTTTTTATATGGTGTGAAGAAGATAACATCAAATAATAAAAAAAAATCAATATTTCACTTTTTTGGAAAATTTCAAGCTATTTCTTTGTATTAAAGGGCACTCAAAACACTCAGAGTTTCGCCCTACTACGAAGTCTTGTTGGCTATATTAGTTCTTCACTAGACAAAAAAGATAACTAAGTATTTATATGGCGAGCGGGTTCAAGCTTTTCAAACTTTTTCGCTTTTGTTCAGTCTTCCTCAGCTTTATAAATCATTTGCAAATTGTTTTCAAAAACTTTTCATCGCGAGTAATGGACAGTCGGGAAATTCAGGGCTTCCAGCTGATGCAAGCAGTCTCTGGTTTCTTTAACGCTCAAACTTTCCCAATGGTTAAAAAAATTCCAAAGTTACTATTTAGCACACTGTCGACTAATACTCTTTGTTTAATTTTGAAGCATCAGTTTTTGGCGCCAATATATTCTTTTTCTATTCGAGGAACGCGCTCTAAACTTTTCAAAGTTTTTGTCAAAACTTTTCTAAAAGTGACCAAAAACGGCAATTTGGACCCGTTTTTGCTTAAAATTAACTCTCGGGGCTAAAAGTTTGGTCAAAACAGAGCCTTTTTTGCAATATGAAAGCCATTAAATTAATTTGGTCTACCTAAAAAAAATTGACCTAATTTTTTTTTAAATACGCAACCCTTCTCCTCCAAAAATCCTAGATCTAACTTGCATTTATCCTACTATTGGATATTTTAAATTATTTTCCCTGTTCATTTACGAGTTAGTGTTTTTCGATACGTTTTTTACATAGTATGAACCTTAAATAGCTGCGATACTTTTAAATTCCAGGTACAGTCACGGGACATAGAAGTTGCAACTTTTTGATTTGAACGAGAAAATGAAGAAACTTTTTCTTCTCGTTTTGTTCGTTTTCTCTGCAACTATTAAAGATAAAGGATTTAAATTTTGACAGAAGGGAGATAAAATTATTTTAAAAGGCTTAACCGGGCCAAAAAACTGAAAAAAAAACTTGTTTTAAGGGCGTAAATTAGCCAACTTATCAAGAATAATTTTACAGGTGTTCTTGCTGTGGAACAACCTCTTAAAAAATTTGAACTTATGGGCTCAAATTAGTTCTGTGTGAAGCTGATGAGCTTGACTTACTCATAATGTTGCCTAAAAACGACAAACAAGAGAATTAAGAGAGTTACTTGGAACGGTCATATCTTTTTTCACGACATAAAAGTTCTTTGGAGCTTATTGCAGAAAACTGGACAAGACTTACACACAAAGCACCTAATGAGACTCTTGTGCTTAGATTGGAGCAGAAATTTTTCCAGAACATTTGCCAGAATGGTTTTTGTTGACAAATTCGATCATCAGCGCAAGTTAATCATAAATTTTTTGCCGTTTTCTTACGCCGGACCCAAGGACTGGTAATTCTGTTATTGGACAGTTTTAGGCAACATAATGAGTAAGCCAAGCTCATCAACTTCCCAAAAAACTGGTTTGCGCCCATAAATTCACATTCCTTATTTTGTTTGTGAGGTTGTTCCACAGCAAGAACACATTAAAATTAACACTTGTAGCCTGGCTAATTTACGCTTTCTAGGGTTTTCTTTTAAACCTTTTCAAATAACTTCATCTACCTTCTATCAAACTTTAAATTCTGTATCTTCAATAGTTGCAGAGTAAACGAACAAAACGTGAAGAAAAAATTTCTTTTTCTCGTTCAAATAAAAAAATGCAAATTTTTGTCCCGTGACTGTAGATTCAAGATATTGTTTCCCTAGATCCGATCAAATTTCAACTTAACGGCACCAACCGCAAAGTTGTCTCATGGGTAATGACTTTAATGGGGCAACCCAGATTCACTAGTATCACCAATCACAAAAAAGTAAATTTGGTGGCAGTTACTTTATACTGTACTATGAGGCTTACCACCTTTTGTCAATTTACTTGTGGTTGTATAGCTCGCATGCGCAATCGCAAAAATTTCCGTATTAGAGAAGTTTTGATAAAAAATCATGATACAGATTACTCTAAAATTGCAAGAATAAAATCTAGTAATTTAATCAAAAAGAAAGGGTCCACGACCAATCAATACAATTGCCTGGTTGCAAATCATCTTACCAAAATTCAACAACCCGATTGAACCCTTTTTAGAGAATTCTAACTGTGCAATTGCAATCAGTAATTCTACTCAACTACTCAGTTCGACCTGCTGAAACTAAAAGGGTCACTAGAGATTACTATTCCTTTGAGTACTTTAAATGAGCTCTCCAACTTCGAAAACCAATTGTTTTTTCTTTTAGCGACTTTTTTCTAAGTGAGAACCAGCTATCCACTAACTTCGCTATAATAGTTCTTCAATTATTTTTTAGAATCAACCGTTTGCTCGCTCAGCGCATTTTTCTGCCCAAAGAGTATACTATATGTATTTTTTTGGCTTTGTTTGTCTACTGATAGTAATGAACGACCCTATCAGTCCTGATTTTTACTCTGGTGCTCTTGTGCAAGGTTTCACCAGAGTTTTCTCCTGAAGACACTAGCTATGAAAATCAAATTTCTTAAAGGTATCTCTAAATGAGTTGTTCAAATATCAAGTCCAACTCACTTGAACATCAAACTAATTTTGTCAAACTGTTGTTTTTACTAATTGAATTGTTGTCAAACTAATTTTGTCAAACTGGGGGAACTGTTGTTCCCCCAGTTGTTTTTTAATTATGACGTTAGCGTTCTGGCATCCTTGAGCTAGTGGGAAGACGTTTGCAGATGCAGCTACCTCATTGTGAGCTTCTAAAATTACAATGTAATAACCTAATTCAATTCCGGCTTTCTAGCTATAAGAGGGTCATCTCGTATATTATAGAGTGCAATTGTACCAAAAAATCACCTTTGAAGAGCTAAGTAAATATCTCGTCCAATCATTTTTTTATTTAGGAGAAGTAATTACTGTGCCGCACTCATCTTGTTGCCACTTTACTGTGGAAGTTACTTTCTTTGGTCTAGTTTATTTGCTTTTAATGGCTTAACTGTCATCCTAGGTTCAATACAATGTTTTTCTAGTTGCACTCAGATTCAATCCACTACCTCCTTGTTATGACTCCGCAGCTATATCTTTTTCTGATTGCTTTCCCAATGAACAAAATTGCCCCCAATTAATTACAAGTAAAGCGATCGACTCCCATTTCCTTGGGTTAGGGCAGGGGAAGAGGCCACTTTGAGTTGTTAATCTCGGGAGTTTCTATCAACCAAAAAGTCTTTTAAAGACCTCTCCGGGTTCACCAGGGGTCAATCTTCCATATTCAGGATGAGAACCCGTGAGGTGTACCTATCAAGTTTCATCCATAGCCTATAGTACTTCCCAAGTTGTTGCATTTTTAAGGTCCATTATCATTTTTCCCAGGAGGAAAACAGCATGGAAAGAGTTGGAGGACGGGTTTTGTTCACAAGGTGCCTTTTTTCGTGATTGGAATCTCATGTTCATTACCGCCAGAAAATCAATAGGCACACAGACATTTTTTTAGCGGTAATTGCTTTTTTTCCGGTCTAAGGGGGGTTTTCGCAAGTGCTAATAATTTCCGGTATAGTTGCTGGATTGGGCTCAATTTATGATACATGATGCATCTTGCCATTATCTATGATTTCTCTAAGTTTGATCTTGCTATTATATTTCATGGGGTTGGAAAATCGCCACCAAAAATTTAGTGTTTTGAACCCAAAAACGAAAACTTCCACTTCCGAATTTGATCTAATCATGCTCAATCGACGCGGAAGGTTCAATAATCTACCCCTATAGAATTGTTTTTGTCTTATGGTTAATTTCTGACAAGTTCATGTCAGTTGAAGTCATAGATATTTTCATATTCTGTAGTTTCTTCTTTTTGGGCAATCATGGCAAGTAATACTGTCATTTTTGGAACGAAGATGCATCGCGTGAGACCCGAAAATTATTTGTTGGTTTGGCCGACCTATTAAAAACGTTCAAAATTTTTGTTTGCTACTGTTTTCTTGTAAATTATATTCCCAACTTATAGCTGTGAAAAAGTCCTCATTTTAATTGTTCTGATTTGCTCACCTTAGGCTTATAATCACTCCAATAAACCTTAGGCTTATAAACTATCGTAACACATAATTTCAACCCTTCATAAACCCAAGGTAAGGTTTTCTAAGGCGGATCTGCTGTTAGTCGAGAATACAGTAGAATCTCCAATAAGATAGACGCCTACAAAATTTTGAAAAAAAATAAGAGACGGAAAAAACTTTGATTTGCGTAATGAAACTTTTGCTATGATAGTAAATTATCACGCTTTGCCATGCTGCCGAATTCGAATTTTTTGAGATTCGATATTTCAACCATTTTATATTTGAAATATTTACAATTAGACTTGATTTCGGAAGATCCAACAAATCATAAGCGTGAATACACTTTGATTCCAGGGAGAAATTGGTCAGATTTACAACATAGGCAGCGCGGATGAGATCAAGATTATAGACTTGGCCCATAAACTGAAAGAAATGATCGGGGGAACTAGTGAGATTAAACACGTGAAAGACAGGGTGAAAAACGACCTCGGTTACCGAGTAGATGCCTCGAAACTCCTCGACCTCGGCTGGACCAAGCAAGTTTCTTTCGAAGATGGTCTGCAGCAGACTATAGATTGGTTCAGAGAAAATAAGGACCTCAAATGCTGGACTAACAAGCGGCTGAAATTCTTGGTATACGGAGGCAAAGGCTGGATTGGTGAAATGGTTGTTAATTATTTGAAAAAACACGGTCATATACTTATAGTAAGCGAGAAGCGACTTGAAAATAGTGCAGAAATCGAGCAAGAAATCAGCGATGTCATGCCTAGTCACGTGATCTCACTAGCAGGGCGAACTTCGGGCTATGTTGACGGGAAGTACATTGCAACTATAGACTACCTTGAAAAACCCGGAAAATGGCGGGAAAATGTAAGAGACAACCTTTTTGCTCCTGTTCACCTTGCACTTTTGTGTCAAAAACTGTACATACACTTCACGTATTTGGGAACCGGCTGTATATATTTATACGATGAAGTACACGCACCTGAAAAAAGTTCACCAGGGTTTACTGAAACTGACCCTCCAAACTTCGATGGTTCTGCGTACTCGTATGTCAAAGGGTTCACAGACACTTTACTCAACGACCAAAAAGGCGTTCTTAACTGCCGAATCCGGATGCCAATTGACAATAAAGACCACCCAAGGAACTTCGTCACAAAAATCACAAGTTACAAGAAGATTTGCTCTATTCCTAACTCAATGACGGTACTTCCGGAGTTCATTCCTATCATTGTTGACATGTGTGCTAGAAGAATTGACGGAACCTTCAACTTGACCAACCCAGGAAGGATCTCTCACAATGAGATCTTGGAAATGTATAAATGTCACGTGAACCCGCAATTCGAGTGGGAGAACTTCACAGATGAAGAAATGATGAAGATTCTGCTGGCACCGAGGAGTAACAACTTCCTCGAGACGGAAAAGTTGCAAAAGATGTACCCCGAAGTACGCACCGTACATCAATCAGTCGTTGAAGTTATGAAAAATTACAACAAATCACAATGAAAAAGATTTGAGGGCAACAACCTCTTTTTCTCGCTAAATAAGAGGGCGGTAGTTGAAATTAGATGAAAGTAAAACAAATATTAACATTTTTCCGAATTCAGAAAGAAAAAAAAACTTTTTTATGAATTTAAAATCAAATTTCTGCGCACATTTTTTTTACTTTCATCTCATTTTAGTCTTCCGATATCAGCATATCGTTTATCGTTTATGTACATAAATTTATTCAACTTTTAATATTCTTCTTGACGCATGTGCACAGAAGTTTAATTAAGTGGGCTAGGATTTTCTATTTTAAAAAACTTTGAAATCAAATACATCACATTTATGGTGCATGAGATGGGAGGTTGATAAACGGGGAACTGTAAATTGAGTATAAGCGTCTGAAATTCAAAAAAGTGGGAAATTCAGACTACATTTTTTTTTGAAAAAGTAACTCAGCCCCACCTGTAATGGATTCAACCGAGCAGATCGCCGCGTAAATAGTGCTTAAATTTTTTACGCCTAAATCAAAACTTTCCTCGTCCTAATAGCCCAGTTTTCGATTTAAAAACAGTGTAGTCTGATTTTCCCGTATGCTGATTTTCACGCAACTTACCAGTATCAGATGAGCGATTAAAACCTTCAGTGTTTTTGGTAGTGGTACAACCTATTTTAACCTCTACAACCTCGAGAAATGAGACAGCAACATTTTCCAGTGCTCTTTATTGTAGATAATTTGATTTGAAATGTAAAACAGAAAATTTTATATATCAACTGCAAATGTCAGATATCTGTATTTTGTGACTTTTTTCTATACATATCTAATAACCTGTGCTTAATTTCTTTATGTAATCAAAGATGATTTCGCTATATTATTCCAACAGGGCAAATTTAAAAATTCATCCCCGGTATATTTATTGTTCCAGCCATTTGAAAAATGTAGAGGAACTTCGTACTCGGATGTGTTTTAGTTTTTTGTCTTTTTTGTTTTCTACGTAAAGTGAAGTACCAAAAAATACTTATCGGAATGGATCCAATGATATATCATACAAAAACTTTTTCAGTCCTGATTCCAACAACTTTTTAAAATCCTGTTTTATTTATTCTGACTATCGAATACGCCTAAGTTGTAATTTTTTTGTTCTGATCCTTTTACCACACCACGCAGAAAAACGACAATTTGAAAGAAAAAATTTGTGTTTTAGGTTATGATCGGAACATTTTGTGCTACTTGCACAGTAACCAGCTATCCTTATTGTTCTTTGCACATCTCTATGTAGTAGATAAGCAAATTCTATATAATGCATCGAAAAATTTTGAGTTTCAAGGGAGAAAAAATACAGATTGCATCATGCAGACGAAAGTTTTGCATGTTTTTGTAGTAGAGTTTACATAGATTTTTAAATCCTTTTGACAATAAAGAACAAAATACATGCTTGCACACAGGAGAAGCAGAATTTTTTTTATACTGAAATCCTTGCTCTTTTATCGCCACGAAGATGTTGGTTCTATCTACTTAAAAACTTTAACAGCCCAATTTCAACTTTATCCAGCGCACTGTGGCCAAAAAAGATATTTGACTTCCTTTAGCTTAGCAATTGAAATAAAATCTAGGATAGTAAGTTACGCATTAGTGGAGTTCTCGACTTTTGTTATAACCGGGAAAAAATTCAATTAACCTTGTGTATTTGCATCTTTTATTTTGACCAGTCGCTGTTGTGCGGCAACAATTCCGTCTCAATCTCAGCACTAAGAAAAGTTATACCCTGTAATTTATGCGAAGTCGAATAAAAATAGAAAAGTGTGAAAAAAAAGTTTTAAAATTTGTTTGCTCGTGACTGCTGTTGGACAAATAACATTTTCGCGATAAGTTGTGACGTTTTACTCTGACTCCTCTAAATCATGTTTCTTCTATTCATTTTTTTCACTTCGGAAGCCAATAATAAAAATTCGCGAAGAAATCGAATCACAGTGTCGAAATTTGAACACATTTCAAGATGCAATATAAGCTGTTGCTTATCTGGTATGAAACACATGTAAAAAAAAACTGAACAGTATACACCCAATTTTTTCTCTTTGATTTATTTTGTTTATTGCTCTAGGAACGATATTGCACTAGTGTTTAAAATATTGCACTAGTTTTTCAAGTATTGCAATACTGTTTCAAATACCGCACTAGTTTTTCAAATATGGCACCAAAACATACTGAACACGTGTTTTATGATGCCTAACATTGTTTGACATTTGATGCCGATTAACACATCAACGTTGCCAGAACAAAGGTTTATTTTTGTATTAGATGAGTAACAGCTAAATATCGCATCCAGAATTTTGTTTGTTATCAAAGCGAGATACTCAGTGTTGAGATGTGAACATTATTCGAGATGCATGGTAAGCTGATATTGTTTTGGTATGAAACACATTGGAACTCAGAGGCGAAACTGCGCTTCGCAAACACAAGCGAGTAAAAGTTCTAAGCAGTCAAAACAAAAAGAAATAAAGAGAACTTTAAAAAACACCTTAAAAACAAATTTTGTCGACATTAGGAGTATCACGTTCTCAGGTCTGCTCCACGGCCCCTTGTAATTTTACTAACTAGCCAGCAGTAAAGCAGCTACAGTTTCCTTAAACTGCCAAAGTTATGCAGCAAAAATTTGATTTTAACAAAAAAAACAAATTTTGAATATCTTACTGGTTGCTTAGAAGTCTAACGTCCTCGAAAGTAAACTGGTGGCTCATCTAATGCTGGATCTACCTGTTCTGATATTTTTAATCATTTTTATTACGAATACGTAAATGCGTAACATTCAAAATTTCCCAAAAAATAGACTTAACGCTAAAACCTAAGGTTTCTCTGCTTAAGTAGAAGTGCAACTCAATTGTTTTTTCAATTGAAGTGTTTAAATTAAATTTGGCTGGGTAGCTGTCGAAAAAAAGTGAAATAGATTAGAAATAGATTTCTAAACCATTAAGTTTTTTTCGAATAAAGCATGAGAACAGCTTCTGCTTTCCTCATCCTGATTTGAAAATTGAAGATTTGCACACCCAGATTTTTTAGATTGAACCCTTATATCAGATTTACTCAGTTGTTTTTGAGAATAGTGGCAAAATTTTTAAAACAACCGGCAAAAAATAAAAAGGAAATCTTCCGAAGAACATATAAATTTTTCTACAAAAAACACATGGTAAACAGATTACGTAGAAAAAATTGAAGCAGCATGTTAGCTTTAATAAACTATCAAAACTCAGAATCAGCAGAAAATTCTTCGAAAAACTTTCCAAAAAACGAATAAAATCCCAGAAATTTGACATTTTCTAAGCTGCTTCTAACATGATAAACCGTATCTTTAAAAGTCAAACCGACTCATGCTCATACACTTAACTGATTTTATCCCACAGAGGCAAAGCGGAGCTTCGCATCATTTGCGATACCACAAAAAAAATATTGCAAGCTAGCAGGCAGGAAATGAAAAAAAAGCCATCAACTTCAAAGAAAACGAAAAATTTTTGCAAGCTAGCAGACAGGAAAGGAAAAGAGCCATCAAGTCCAAAGATAACGAAAAGAAACCACAAAAAGAAGGTATTCAAAATGTTGTCTGGAATGATGTTCTATTTGCGGAAAACACGTCCAGAAACATATTCGACGGCGTTTAATGAAAATTCAACAACAATTTTTGAGCAATAAAAATTGTTGTCATGAAAAATTTTGAATTTTATATTGTATTATGAGATTTTCTCACATTTTGTGCATTCCGAAGGAAAGCATACCAAATTATGGTTCCCTCAAACGACCCAAAATTATGTGAGAAACCGATAAAATACAAGCCGAAATCAATTTAGGCCGAAAAATTTTAGGCGAACAAATCGAAAAAGGAGAACATACGAAGTCAAGATTAGTAGAATCACAAATTGCAGGAGTAAATGAAAAGATAAAAAGCACCTGCGTGCATTTTAAGATGTGGCAACTAAGCCGACAAAAAATAAGCAGATAAATAAGAAGCCGAAATTTTTTTTGAAACAGATTTTCCCATCTGAAAAAAAAAACAATTCCTAGTCAGATTCTAAGCCATGGCCATCACAGGAGTATTCATTTCCTCCAGACTTAGTGTTCCGGAGACGATTAAAAATTTGAATTCATTATGAACCAAAATACCAAGTTATTCTGTTAGACAAGTTGATAACCCAAAAAAATCTTACATTCCGGTTTGATAACGCTTGCTAATTGCAAGCGAAATGCTTCAATTCAAGTTTTCTCGAGAAAAAGTCATGTGCCCTTTTTCATTTACAGGTGATTTTGCAAGTGAAATAAGTATCATAAAGCAGAAGACAAAATCTGGTGAAAGTATCAGCCAAAACAAAAGTAAGAAAGCCACAACACTTCAGCTGAGCACTTTTACTTCTAATATGGCTGATTTGTTGATACAAAACAAAATCCCAAAAAAGCAATTAATTCATTGGACAATAAAATAAACAACTTTGAACGGTAGCTAAAATAGTTTTTAATCGGAATCCGAAGAAGTTTCACTTTTACTTCTTGATTTCTTTTTAGTGTCTTCTTTTCTTTTCCATTCAGGCTCTGCCGAATCTTTTGAGGATGATCGACTTCTTTTGTCAAGGTCTCGCCTCTTCCCGCTGTTTGACCACCTAGAATAACACCGTTTTGGAAAAAGGAATAATGTAACGTAACCTTACTCTCAAATAGATAAACAATTATATATCGATCTTTTATTGCTAATATTGGTACAAAGTGCACAGAAAAAGCGATACAATTTATTGAGCAGAATCAATTTAATATTCTCTCTTCTTAAAAATTCCGTTTATTAAAATTTCTCTTGGGTCATAATAAATCGTAAATACTAGTACGAATTGGTTAAAATCTTGAGAAACCAAAAATCAGATGTGAATAAAGTGGCGACTCAACGTTCAGCTGCGCATCGCAAGTGAATCAAAATTACCTTAAGCTCTATACGTTCACTCAGCACCGATATAGTGGCTGAGCCTCTAGATTATATATTAACTAGATTATATAATATCTCTAAAAGGTTAAAATCCACGATTAACACACTTGAGTTTTCTGAGATCCTAACTATCACACTTTGACCATTCAAACCCTCAACTCACCTGTCACTCATGTGTTTCTGGTGCTCCTCCCACTCCATCTTCTGCTGGAACTTCCTCTCTTCCTTCAGAGCACGTGATTGCTTGTCCTCCTTGATCTGTTTGTTTAACTGCCGCTCCATCAGTTTCTTCATCCGCTCCACTGCACTCAGTTTAGTCGAAGAACTCTCGTTACCTTTCGAGCTAGTTGGAGCTGTCTTCGTTTTATATTTGGACTCATTAAAACTACCGTCCAGGCTGCTATTCGACCCATTAAAATTCTGGTCAAGTTCAGATGGTCTCCTAATAGGAGGTAATGGAGGCTTCGAAAATGCAAGGTTTGTTCGAGGAGGCGACTCTTCGAGATCTGAATTAGAGGAAAGAGACTTTCTTCGGTACCGTTTGATCACTCCGCTACCGTTTTTACTAGCAGTTTCATTATTGGCAGTTTTGCTGTTTGAGCATTTTGCTTGAATTGCACTTAGATCCAACTTTGGTCTCTGATGTTTATCGAGAGAGCTATCGGATGACGACCTGGATCTCCGATTGCGCGTTTTGGATAATATTGAACTCAATTTTTCTTTGTTTTTGGTGGATCCAGAATACTTTGAACGTTTTTCGGCTCTGTCTTTCGATCTAGATCTCGAGCGTGATCTGGCACCTCTATTTCTGGACCTTCCACGGGATCTTGACCTTCGCTCATGTCTCGAGCGATACGATCTCGACCTTGATCTTTGCCGAGAGTGACGTGATCGTCTGCGAGGTGAGTTCCTCCGTGGCGACCGAGACCTAGACCCTCGAAATGATTTCGGTGTACGCCTTCGAGTTTTTTGGTCAGATCGAGACCTCGAGCGACGTTCTCTATCCCGACGTCGACTTCTAGATCGTCTCTTATCTCGACTCTTAGATCGCTCTGGAGTCATACTTTTCTTTAAGCTTTTAACTTCAATTTTCAGTTCCTCGTGCGGACATTCCTCATCCTGTTCGTTGTTGATGTCGAAAGATGTTATATACTTAGGAGCTGTGTCTTCCTCAGTTGACGATTCAGAAGTCGACCTGAAACGAACTCTTCTAGGCCCATTACCGACTTCTGCTTATTCAACAGCTGAAACTGCATAACATACACGATGCAGCTAGTGGAAAAAATTAGTTAGAGATACACCTAATTTCCGGTAAACTAGAAAAATACAAGGTTATCAACCGAGCTTCAAAAAATTTAGAGCTCTTCGCCAAATGTATATTTTCAGCATGGCGCAATATTCTATTTTTTGAGTAATGGTACCTGGATTTCTGTCGTTCTACTGACTTTTCTTTCACCTTTTCTTCCACCTCTTTTCTGTTCTCTCTCGTTACATAGCTCAGTTCCATTCTGGGATTCATTCTGCGATGCAGCTGCACTTTCTCGTCGTGGAATTCTCGTCTCTTGTGCCTTCCTTTTCTACCCGAGTACATTGCCTTTTCATCTTCCAGCATTTTAGACAATCTCAGACTCTCCTGTTCATTTTTGTCTTTCGCCAGATACCTCAAAAAGATATTCTTCTTCAGTCCATATGCCATAGAGTAGGTAGTTAGAAGTCGTTTCTGGTCTGAGTCTATTTTGTCCACATCAAGGGTCACTTCAAGGTCGATTTCGTCGAAGCTGCTGTCGTCACTGTCACTACTGGCATCTGAGTCGTCGTAAGAGAACGAGTGTTTTGTCAAAAGGATTCCGGCATTCTTCTCGTAGTTGTAGCCAATAGCAGCCTGAAACAATCGTTGAATTTATTTTACGCCAGCTGTTTCGCATTGGCTATAAACAGAAACTCGCTTTCTGATCTCGAATACATCATTTTCTGAAGCAGTCCGATTGAATTTTGTCTTCTAGATCAACAAACTTATAAATTAGATAATTAAAAAAAAAACAGATTCCGTAGTCGCTAGCAGAAAAATAGTTCAGTTTGCTTAGTTACCTTGAAATGAGCCACCAAGCTCTCGGCACAATTTTTCAAAATCAATTGAGGCGGGTGGCTTTGTCAAATAACATTGTCATCACTTCGAAGTCGCCACGTGTCAATCAATTCTTTTACAACGACCGAATAATTTGTGTCAAAAAAGCATCAACATATTACTAATACAACCAGTTGTCATCGAAACAACTATGTTGTTGAGAAGTTGCAGTAGCCAAGACTCAGGAAGCCTTGGATATTCAGAATAGAGAAAGAACATTAATTATAGTAGGCTGCATAACAGTGCGAGTGGACTCCCAATTTTTAAATGAAGATCATAAATCGCGATGCGGATCTACTTAACAATTCCCCCCCCCTTTCAAGAAAGGGGGAGATTCTTTAGTAGATACAATAGGGGGAGATTGTTAAGTAGATCCCGCGATGATGCTTCTTTCGCTAGGAGTAATGAATAGTTTAAGTACTTTAACACAGTTGAATGTACTTTCATTCACTCTGTTACTTAGACAGAAGATGAAGTGGATTAAAGAGTGATTAATCAGAATCTGTGCACTTTTTTGCAGCCCAACTACAGCAGTTCGAAGCAACAATTAATTACTTGACCCTACTTTGCTGGTGGCAGAATTGGATGGACCACCTGCTTTGCCTATTTTATCACTCGTGCTGCCACCTCCAGTAGTCAGTTGTGACTCTTTAGACACCACCGAAGTTCCCCTTGTACCTCCCCCCTCTTCTTCGAGGGCGATCTGTCTGAGACAGGGCCCCTCTTCCACTCCAAGGTAGTCGTTCTGCACCAGGGTCCTGAATTATATCACAAAATAAATATGCAATGCCTCGAAAACTAAAAGCAATCGGTTGCCATACTATTAGCACAGAAAACTCCCAACACAGTCTATTTAGAAGTACTTAGCATAGTGGTAAGGCGTTCACTTTGAAATCGTCAGATCGTGTATTCGATCCCATGACATGGCAGTGATAGTGTGCGAGGACGAGCTCTCACTTGACCTCTAGCTTCAGGTCTACCACAGCCTGACCAATTTCGGCTGCAATAGTGGTACCACGTGAAAGTTCTAGACGCAAAAAAACGGCCTTGAGTCGCAAAAAAAAGTTTGCTCAACAAAATAGCACAGTCTGGAATGTGGGGAGATGATAATTTAAATTATTTATTCTTCGACAGGCCTGTTTAGGCGTACTGATAGCTCCTATGCGATTCGCAGGAACCAAATTATTATAATTTTGAAAACAAAATCTCATTTTTTTTTTCAACTTTAGTCTTTTGTTTGTGAAGGGAGAGTAACGATAAGTAAGCTTCGACACAGAGGCAAAGCTGCACTTAGCAAACAAGCAAGAAAACAGTAAATACGGGCTTTAACAGGCAAAAGCAAAGTGAACAGAGAGGTGAAGCTGCTCTTAGCACCACTTGCGATTAAAAAACCAAAGTAGCTAAGTCGGCAAAATAAGGAAAAAATGTCGAAATAACTGGATCTATCAAACAAATCAGGGTAGTTTTGAAACAAAAACATTACAAGACAAAATAATGTGAAATTTGCATCTGAAGAAAACTTACTCAGCTGTAACAAACCAGAAAATACCTTAACAGAAACCCTAAGCCGAAAAAAAATCAACAAGACTTTTAAAAAGTTATTAAGGCCCCCTCACCCTCCAAACAGACAGACAGACAGACACACACAAAACTTTATTTGCTCGTCAAATAACAACCTAACGCCACTGAGCCAATACAGCACAGGCCGAAACCTATTAAGCCGGAAAAAAATCTAAGACTAAAAAAATTATCAATACCCCTTGCCATTATAACACCCCAACGCACAAAAAAAATTTTCGCTTGTCGAAAGCAGCAATATGAGGCCATGAAGCCAATATTATATAGGGCGAAACCTATCAAGCAGAAAAAAACCGGGAAAAAAGTCATGAAAATTTTGAGGTGTAAGTTCTATTAAGATTTTAGCAATTTGTTCTATCCAGTTAGCATAAAAATTACATTTCCCTTGAAATTAACAGGCTTTTACCAGATTTTTTGTATTTAAATTGGCATTTTTCAAAAGAACATGTATACACAAGGGAAAGGAACAGCATAACCGAAGAGTTCTTTACAAAAAAAAACAGCTGCCTAGCCTTAATTTTCAGGGTAGGTACATGTTTCTTCACACATTAGAGGTAAAGGCTCATACACCAGCCAGTACACCAAAAAATGGGTAGTCAAGATGTCCTAACTGAACAAAAAGTGAAATAATTTGCAAAACGACCCCGTGGGTTACATTTAAAAAATTGATCGGGAGCATAAATTGACAAGCTGAAATTGAGAAGTGAGCTGGTCAGCACCACACCTGTATCTCTCATAGTTGCACCTCTGCTTAACTTTTCTCTCGCTGACCGAAGCCAGCTTAGCCCCAGTCGTGTCCTCCCGGTCCGAAGTTGAGTCATAGTCCGACGAGGAGGAAGAGTCCGAAATCGAATCTCGTTTCACCACTTCCGGAACAGAGTCCAGAAACGTTCTAAGCAATTACAGCATAGAAACAATCTTTAAAAGATAAACGCCCTCGCCAAAACTGTGGAAAAATATTATTTCTTTGTGCAATAAATTGAGGTAATACCCTTTGAAATAATACCACGCTGTTTACATACGGATTTTGTTAGGGAAATTGTAACTTAATACTTCTCTGAAAAAAACAATACTGACTGTAAGAAAAAGTTAGAGCTTCAAATATGTTCCAAAGACTATGACTCACCAAATTTCTTTTACTTCAGTATGAGCCAAAAAAAGTTTTAAAAAAACACCAATTATTTACTTTCCTCCACTTACCATTAGGACCTATTGAGTGAAAGAACATGCATAAAAGGAAGCAAGGGTAGAATAATTTGCGGCTTAGTAGAGCATACCTGGCGTCGAATCTGTCTATTGTGACGGAGGAGTCTCCCTGCCATGGCTGCATCACACAGTGACCCTCTGCCCTCTCCGCCTCTACTGTATCCAACTTCATCCGGATCTACCAATTTCAAATCCAAGACTATCACTCTTACCAAACTGCCTTTCGAACTTTTTTTAGTTTTCCCATAGAACCATCAATTATAAATTAGCTGTATAAAACTAACACTTTTATGGAAAATTGCTGTTCAGAGTCGATTACTCGCATAAACCTTGCCTTGATTCCACGTTCGGGCAGAGCCCAAAAAAGAAAACACTATTATCAAGAGTAAATGAAAAGTGTTCTTATCAGATCAGTCCAGTTGAGTAGTTTTTTATCAGTTACCTTGCGCCCATGCACTCTGAGGAACTGGGCGGGGTCTAGTTTGATACGCTCGTAGTACTGGCTACGTCGTTCTGCCCTCTTCCTTAGGTCCACCATAGCCCCTCGGATCATTTTCTCTTGGCGTCTAGCCTCACCCCACATGCCTATTACTGCACCCCCACTCGGCATATCTCACTTCCGTCACAAATTGGTCTCAATTTGCTATCTCACTACCAAGAAATGCATTTGAACTTCTAAAACACAATCAACTGATATTTAGGATATATTCGACTATTTCCTCGTTGCCGAAATATGAATATACTGACACCACCCAAAGGGTGCACATTTGGTATTAACTCATGACATCTATTTTTGGCCGAACACTTGAAATTTCTGCACAAAAATTTAGGCTAGGAAGAGATATTTCGAAGAAGCAGCACGAAGAGAAGCCACACTTCCCCCAAAGCAACAAAAACAGCAAAAATAAGTTCTAAACACGGCGAAAAATTAAAACAAGAAAAAACAAATCAACTTCAAATTGAAGAAAACCGATACTACAGGAGTAGTACTTGTTTCTGCGGAAAATAAACCTTTAAGAAAACATTGCCAACAGAAGTGTCAATGAACTCAAAACCTAAATAATTCATTTTAACTGAAAAATTTGTCCTCATATTTCGAAGATAAAAAAATACATCACTTCATGATTGAAAACTTAATGATTGACACTTTTTCCATAAAACTAACTCAATTAGAGAGAGTAGGACAACAGGAAATTTTTCAAGTCCGATGGCAAATCCTTAAAATAATTCTACGTTCAGGACTAAAATCAACCATGTTTGTTTTTACGCCGATTGCACTTTTAAAATTGGCGAGCTTAATTTACCTTGCTTTGAGCAAATCAATTTGCGTTTACCTTAAAATAAATCAAAAGCCAAACCGCAAAAAAATCCATTTGGAGCATGATCAATTTTAAAGAATTTCTCCTGAAAAACTGCCCGACCTAAATTAGAGTCTTCACTTCGTTTATTGACACTTAACTTGAAAAAACTAACTAGTGAAGGCGATCAACCTTACTTGTAACGGATCGACCTTAGTAGCATTTAAGTCGACAATCTTTGAGCAGACACCAGTTGATCCGAGAAAATTGATTACATGACTTTTTTGTACATGTTTAAGTCCCACTCTGAATTCAGAACAAAAAAACTTGCACTTGCAACTAAAATGGAAATTGCTTACAGCACAAGAAAAATCCATCATTTGGCAACGAAGCCGACCATCTTTAAGCAGACACTACTTGAGCCGAAAAAAAAATTGTGGCAAAAAACTTAAACAACTTTCAAGTCCCCTGAAATTACGTTGACATCACTCACATTGTAACTACATTGAAAGTTGCTTACACCGTGATGTTGCAAGTAAGCGGACAAAATTTGAGCAGACAAACGAAATTCCACCAATTCATTTTATACCGGAAAAAATTTCAGTTGCCTACATACTGAAAAAAAACAAGTCCGACCGAGACTCAAACCTCTGACCTTAGGATGCAAAGTCGACGGCGTTACCTCTAGGTCAAATGAGAAAAAAAAACCTGGAAAAATCTTAAGGTTTTATCATAGAGAAAAGATTTATAAAAAGAATAGAATAAAGAAGAGAAGAATAATAAAGAGAAGATTTGTAAAAGTTGCTTACGGGAAAAAATAGTCCAGTTCGCGATTACGAAAATCTGAGAAATTTAAAAAACTATTTACAAATTTTTCATAAATGTTATCCACTTCAGAAAAGCACGGACAAGAAATGTAACAACCAGCGGTAAATAACAATCAAAACATTAACAAAGCGGCCACTTTGGCGAAAGTACTTGGTTTGAAGCCTGTAGATCCAAAAACAAAATTACCATATTGTTCTCATAAAATATTTTATGAACTATCAAGTTTAAAAACTCAAGACAACAAAGCAATAATAAACTTTATATAAATCAGCGTTCGTAAACTCATGACTTACAGAATCACTTTCAATTCGGTCGGATCAGGATATGAACTCCAATTTTAAGCATCCAAATTAACGCACTTCACAATAGGCCCTACATAATACAAGCAGGTCCAATTTTATACAGTCTTATACCCGATTAAAAGTCACCTGAGTCCTATACCAAACCTTAAAAGCGAAGCTGCATTTCGCAAAGACTATGAAAAAAGGAAAACAAGATTTGAAACAAACTCGACTTCTAGCTACATCAACCTTTAAATGCAGACCTATCTACCAAGAGTAAGTTGACTTACCTACCAATCCGGTAATTCTTGGATACTGGATGGCCACGTTGTTGGACAAAATTTTTGGTTGCGAAAAATTGATTTAGTCTTTTGCACGTTCGAGTTTTTTCTTGTGTTTTCCCACATTTATATGATCAATTGAACTATTCGAAAATTCTTATATTTAAGTCAGTGCCCTACAATCTTCATGGATGTCTCAGTTGTCGTCTCTGAATGGATGATGAAAGTTGTGCTATTTTGGTTTTATGATTTACCAATGTAGCAATGAGAATATAATTACTCTTAATATTGATAATAACTAATTTGTCATAGACAAAGGTAGTAATTACTGTTCTGATTTCAAATAGAAACAGAAACATGAACTATTTTATTGCGTTCACAAAATGTGACGCCGCCGCCACCACAAATGAAATATGTTTTTATTCCCTTGCAAAAGGAAGGGAAATGCTATTGGAATAATTCGTATAACGTTTTAAGCATTGAGAATTGAAACGACTATTCTCGTTCAAAGCGAATATTAACGATTCCGCTCGTAAAATACGAGCATACGAAACCTTCTTGTCGTAAAATACGAATGTACGAAAAGAGAGTACGAAGTTAAGAAGTAACTTCTCATTTGATACGAAAAGTGGCGTGATTTCCCAATCTGAGTATAAATAGAAGCTCAAAACTACGGGAATTCATTCCCAACAATATCTCTTCTAACACCAACACCACTCTCTTCTACCACCCCAACCAATCTCTAAAAAATATCTCTAATCTCACCGTTAAAATAGATATTGAGTCAAAAGGCAACTTGCTGTAAATTCATACTAACTTCTTTTTTTAATAAAATATTTCTCAGCGAATTTTAGATTTACTTTCTAAGATAGAAAGTAGAAAGGACCCTTTATTCCTAGCAAGCGTTTTGTCCGACGTCTATAGTTTTGCTAGCGTAATATTACCAAGCAGCAATGAATATGTTATTAATTTGAGCTAGTCAAATAAAAGCAAAACTACACAAAAAATACCACAAGAAGCTACAATTTCGAAAAAACTGCGCTGCTTGTAAAAAGACAACAACTAGAAAAAAAATGAACCATTAGTTTGTGAAAATTAGAAAAAACTAGCATGTAACGCACCTTCGGTGCTTCGAATATATGACAACTCACAAAAAACCACATCCGTTGACTGTACTCTGAGAGCACCCAATTACAGGGTTGGTAATTTCAAATTATATGAAGTTATTCAAGTTTTTTTAATTCAAAATTTGAAAAACCATACAATTTTGTGAATATTTTTATATCTAAGTTCGTTGAAAATTATTTAAATGACAGAAAAACACCGAATCTCGGAAACTAAAAGCAATGGAGCAGTAGTCGCATTTGGGCCCAAAATTAGCAGCTTCTGAGAGTACTCACAGTGCCCAACTACAGGGTTGGGAACTTCAAATTTTTGAGAAACGTCAAATTGAAGTTCTATTTTTTTTGTCTCCAAAATTACAAAAATTTGAGCACTCATATTTGCAGCCAAGATTCGCAGCCTCTGAGAGTCCTCTGAATTAAATTTAGATTTTCTGAAAATTTTTTTGAAAAAAAAACGCCATTTCTGGAAAACTATCTAAGATCTTTGAACATTTAAAAAAAAGACATAACAAATGTCACATCTCGGAAACTAAACGCATTTGAGCAGTTGCAATCAGACGCAAAACTTGCAACATGAAACTCCTGAGAAGACCCTAACACTACCCAAGTACAAGCTTGAGAATTTCAAATCTTTTGAAGTTTTTTTTTAAATCTAAGTTTTCTGAAAAATTAAAATGAAATCAAAAAACACGTCATATCTCGAAAACTAAAAGGATTTGAGCAGTCATATTTGAAGGCAAGATTCGCAACCCCTGATACCCTGAGAAAGCTCTGACAGCCCCTACTACAAAAATAGGAATTTCAAATTTTAGGAAGAAAAAATTGAATTTAAGTTTTGCGAAATTTTTTTTACAAAGTCACAAAACGTCATATATCTCGAAAACTACAAAAAAAATTGAGCAGTCATATTTGGAGGCAAGATTCGCAACCCCTGAGAGTTCCTCACAGTTTCCAACTACAGGGATGAGAGTTTCAAATTTTATAAAACTTTCTAATTTAGGTTTTCTAGAAATTTTTGAAAAATCTCGAAAACTGCCGTATCTCGTAAGCTAAAAGAATTTGGTTATTCCTTCATGGAGACCAAAATCGCAACACCTGGGGAATCCCTGACAGCATCCCAACATTGGGTTGCTTATTTCAAACTTGGTGAAATACACACTGAATTGAAACTCGAAAAAAAATCTTAACCATTGCAATATACGATTTAGCTTGAACGTGAAAAAATTCTTTTCTTAAACATGCAAAAATAATACGTTGAAAAAGCTTAAATATGGCGAGATAGTGAAAGCCGCATTTAAATATATAACAATATTAATAGATTGTATGCTTATGGGAAACTTTATACAGATGCAATTTTCGGTTCATTTCTATTCAAAAAATATGCCAGTGGTGTTCAGGCCTTAGAGCAATCGAAAAAATACGACGTTCAAACCAGACGAATGAATCATTTGTGAAAAACAGGAAAATCGTTTTTCGACATGATTTCAAAAAATTTGGTTATGCCTAGATTATATTCGCGAAACTCTCTATTCATGTATTTCTTGTGACTTAAAATCGAATTAAAACAAAAGATCGAAGTAAAAAGCCCTAGCATCCTAAATGACAAAAAAAATTATTTGAAACATTTGTCCTATTTTTTGCAACTCAATCATCTGCACCATTAGAGAAATAAATGAAACTTTCTTGTTTCTTATAGTGAAAATTGTCACCAGAAAAATCCATGTGGTGAAAAAGCCGACAAATCATACGTAGACGAGAGTTAGGCCATATAATTTTAAGTTTGTTTACAGTTTGCAAAAACAGGCCCTGGCCAAATTCGATATCAAGAAACTTCATAGCGCTTGACATGGACATTACCTC